TAAACATCACCTACGGTTATTCCAAAGCCCTTCCTGACTGACCAGAGGCAAAAGGTATTTTTCTCCTTTCCGCAGTCCAATAATTCTATCAACATCTTAATACTAGTTATTTTTGTATGGACACTGTAAGAGGTACATTGAGGCTTGTAGGGCAGCTCTCCTGGGAACATCTTGCCACAGACTCAGACTACAGAGCTCAGACCAGATTAAACATTCCTAATGCGAGCAGGGTCCAAATCTAGTTATCACTTTTTGGATCATGACAGCATATGTTCATGACCAAGCTCTTAACTTATAGTTAAGCATTATGGCACTTTGGCCAGGCCCATCTCAATGCCAGGGTAACACATAGCTTATCGCTTGCCCTGGTTGCATTCAGTCCCTCGACGGACCCTGCTTTTGGGGGTGCTAGGAAGTAAGGGTAGCTGAGACTTAGGTTGAGAGAAGAGATGCCCAGGAGGAAAATATCACTGAGAGTCAATAAACTCCCAAGCTACAAAAACGTAGCATTTACTGTCTTTTTATGTCCATATAAAAGGACATGGCTCTTAATAAACTATTCAAAGGACTTAAGGAGAAGAGAAAAACAATATAAGTCAACAGAGAACAAGTAAAGAAGTTACAAATAAACACAAAGGAATGGGAGCACTGTGATGGGAGTAACTCAATAAACCTAAGCTACCTGAGGCTATGCAGGAAGGACAAACCAATGTTATCCTACACTCACCAATACTTTTAACTTAAAAATATAAATATTTATACACATATATATGCCATTCTCACTGATGAGATTTTCTCTCTCTCTCTGACTGGTTTTTAACCACACATGGCTGTGCTCAGATCTTATTGCTGAATCTGGAGAGATTACTCCTGGCAGAATTTGGAATACATGGTGTTGGGGATTGAACATAGGTAGGCTCTACATGCAAGGCAAATGCCGTACCTGTAGTATTATCCATCCAGCCCTGCTGTTTCGTTGTTTTTTTCTAATTGCATTTTCCCTGATACTAAAAGATGAAATCTATTCCTCTTTCCCTCATTTTTGATGGGGTTATTAGGTTTTTGTTCTTTTGAACTTTGTGAGTACCTTATAGATTTTTGGGTGAATTACTGTACACAAATATTTTCTTTCAGTCAAGAGCATTTTTTATTTTAGTCTGATTTTCTTTTGCCATAAAACCCATTGTTTTGTTTTTCTGATCATAATAACCAGTATTTAATGCTTACTCCTGGCTCTGTACTCAAGGATCACTCTTGGTGCTTGGGGGTACAGAATCAAACCTGGTATAGGATACATGCAAGGCAAACACCTTACATGCTCTAATATCTCTCTGGCTACACAAAACCTTTAAAACTTCATATAGTCCCATTTTCTTATTTTTGCTTTTATCTTTTCTAGTGGAATCAGGATTTTGAAAACTCCGTTGATGTACAGATGCTGGGGAGTCCTGTTTTACTCAATGCATTTTATGGATTAATCCATATTTTTTCACAATATTTTATTACATTCATTATCCAAACACCAATCCCACCACCATTACATCTTCCCATCACATAGTTTTCTTTTCTGTTACATATTTTTTTAAAATTTTATTGAACCACCATGAGATACTTATAAGCTTTCATGTTTGAGTTACAATCACGCAATGATCAAACACCCATCCCTCAAAAAGTGCACATTTCCCACCACCAATGTCCCTGGTATAACCTCCCTTTCCCACCCTCCCTCTGCCTTCATGGCAGATATGATTCCCCATAATCTCTCTCTACTTTTGGGCATTATGGTTTGCAATACAGACCCTGAGAGGTTATCATGTTTGGTCCTTTATCTACTTTCTGCACACATCTCCCATCCCGACCGATTCCTCCAGCCATCTTTTCTTAGTGATCTCTTCTCTATTCTAGCTGCCTTCTACCCCTTTGCTCATGAGGCAGGCTTCCAGCTATGGAGCAATCTATCTGTCCCATGTATCTACTTTCCTTAGGTGTCAGCCTCATGTTATGTTGTTTATGTTGTTTTATACTCCACAAATGAGTGCAGTCCTTCTGTGTCTGTCCCTCTCTTTCTGACTCATTTTACTTAGCATGATAGTCTCCATATCTATCCATTTATAAACAAAGTTCATGACTTTATCTCTCCTGAGAGCGGCATAGTATTCCATCGTGTAGATGTACCAAAGTTTCTTTAACCAGTCATCTGTTCTAGGGCACTTCGGTTGTTTCCAGATTTTGGCTATTGTGAACAATGCTGCAATGAACATATATAATTTCTATTGTGCTTTTTTGCATCCTCGAGATATATTCCAAGAAGTGCTATTGCGGGGTCGTATGGAAGCTCAATTTCTAGTTTTTGAAGGACTGTCCATATTGTTTTCCAGAAAGGCTAGTCTAGTGGGCATTCCCACCAACAGTGAAAGAGCCCACCACATTTTGGATGTTTCCATCCAGAACCACAACCCCTGCCCCAAAGCAGAAATGAAATTATTTATTTTGTATTGTTATGAATAAACCGCTGAAAACGCTCCAAAAAACTTTCCTTAGAGGAGAGTTTGTGAAGATTGCTGTATTTCACTCAGGGGGCATTAAGCCCTTCTATAAGAGATTGCTAATATGTTGCTAAGGGTTGATATAGGTAAAGGTAAAGGCCCTCCCGTTGATCGTCGATTTGCTCGAGCGGGCCCAGTAACGTCTCCATTGGAGACTTTGTTGTTACTGTGTCTGGCATATCAAATACTCTCGGTAGCTTGCCGGGCTCTCCGAGAGGGGCAGAGGAATCGAACTCGGGTCGGCCATGTTGGCCGCTTGTAAGGCGAACGCCCTACCCGCTGTGCTATCGCTCCAGCCCTAAAATATCTTTATATATATATATATATATATATATATATATAAAGATATTTCCCTCTAAGATTGGTTGCCTTCTACTTTAAACCCCATCAAATGTGGTGCACTACTCTTGGAGTGAGCTGGAACAATAGCACAACGGGTAGGGCATTTGCCTTGCACGCGGCCTACCCAGGTTCGATTCCTCTGTCCCTCTCGGAGAGCCTGGCAAGATACTGTGAGTATCCAGCCCACACGGCAGAGCCTAGCAAGCTCCCTGTGGCATATTCGATATGCCAAAAACAGTAACAACAAGTCTCACAATGGAGACGTTATTGGTGCCCGCTTGAGCAAATTTATGAACAATGGGAGGACAGTGCTACAATGCTACTCTTGGAGTATTGGTGGTGTGGTCGTACAACCGCAAATGCGGCCATGCAGCTCAGTGATAAGTTTACTCATGGGTGAATTTTTCCCCAGTGTGTGGAGAGCGGGCATGAGCACGGCAGTGGTTGAGTTCTGGAGGTTTTTGACTGCTGGGACTGAGTCCCTTGGGGCTGGGAGGGTCGTTACCCACCCACCTCTGGGTTGCCCCAGGTAAAGCAGCCTGGCGCGGGGTCCAGCAGCATGGCTATGGTGAGTTGTTTTATGCTCTCTTAGGAGAGGGATTAATCCACTTTGAATTATTTTTTTATGGTGTGAGATATGGATCCAGTTTCAATTTTTACAAGTGGTTATCTTGTTTTCCCAGCATCATTTGTTGAAGAGGTTTTCCTAGCTCCACTTCATGCACCCAAGTTATTTGTAGTAGAGCAACTGTTCATATAGTTTGTATATTTTATCACTAGTATCTCAGTTCTTATTCATTGATATGTCAGCATATCCTTATTCCAGTACCAAAGAAATCTAATATGAGCTATTTGAAACTTGGAGATTCATGCTAATAATGCCCTGGGGCAACATTAATTTTTTCTTCCAACACCACAATTTTGTATAATATGCTTATAATAGTTGATTTATGTGAGAAAAAGAATAAGTAATAGAGCACAACCCCTCAAATTACTGTTTCAACAGGCTTCTATTTGAATCATTTTTATTATTGAAATACTTTTGATATCCTGCCCAAATGGTAGTCTGAGTCTATTAATTTTAGGATCTTCAATCTGCTTATTCCTTCTCTTCTAAAATGCCTTTCTCTCTATTATTGCATTGATGTATGAATATTTGAATATTTGTTCATATTTACCCCAATAAAAACTGTCATTGTGTAGCAAAATATTTAATTCTGAGTAAGAGTAGGAGGAAGAGAAGAGAGAATCCCTTCACCCTTCCCATGTATTTTGGCAGAGCATCATCATTTTCTGAAAATCACACCACAGGAACAAACAAGACTTTAGAAAACCTTTGAACTTTTGCTTTAGGACTCAGTTTATTCACTGAGAATGTGCCCTAGACTCGAGATTACTTTAAGTCTTAATATTGTTATGCTCTACTCCACTTATGATTTGAAAAAAGAGTAATTTTATGACACTATGAACCATTTTAAATCACTGATTCAAAAATTATAAATAAAGATTTTAGAAACCAAAGAAAAAGGGGGACAAGGGGGAGCTGCATTCATCTCATCTGATTCATCCTTGATTTAAAAAAAATTATTGTGTGAAAATGCACTCTGGGACTTGTATGGAGAAACTACAAATTTCACACTGGAATTCAACCCATGTAGGGAACTTAAAAATAATGGGAAATAGATAGTGGAGTTAGGGATGGAACCATAGCACAACGGGTAGAGTGTTTACCTTGCACGCGGCCGACCCTGGTTAGATTTCTCTGTCCCTCTTGGAGAGCCCAATAAGCTACCAAGGGTATCCCGCTCGCACAACAGAGCCTGGCAAGCTTGATATGCCAAAAAATAGTAACAACCAGTCTCACAAATGGAGACATTACTGGTGCCTGCTCGAGCAAATCGATGAACAAGAGAGGACAGTGGACAGTGCTACAGTGGACAGTGCTACAGTACATATAGTCGAGTGATGAGGTGAAACAAGAATCCCATGGAATACTACCTAACTTTTCTTCTAGTCCCATAAACTTGTCTCAAGAAACGTTCCATCCCCATCCCAGAGGGAAGTTGAAGGCAAAGAGAAAAAATGTCAATGCATCAAAGCACACACACACACACACACACACACACACACACGAATTCAACACAGCTTTTCTAGTACAGCTTGTGCCATTCACATAGTGTCATGACGCCGTCGGTGCAGGGACAGGTGGTCAGAACGAGAAAAGCTACGGCTACAGTCTGTACACTGGAAAGGTTTGATGCCTGTGTGCTTACGGAAATGACGAGTGAGCTCATCTGAGCGAGCAAATTTCCAGGAGCAGCCATCCCAGGTGCATTTATAAGGCTTCTCTCCTAAAAATTGAATACAACAATAGAAAGGGTGTCAGAGATGGGAGATTTTGATACTAATAAGATTATATAACACTTTATCAAAAGCTTTGGTATTTTAAAAATGTACTCTCCTTTATATTTGCAGAAGTTCTAAAGAAAACAAGATGGTAGAATAGGAAACACATTGACTCTGGTTTAAATTGGCCTTTCTTTGAAGCCTGAATTGTCTACTTACTCTGTGCGTTTAAAAAGAAGAGCAGTGGGGGTGGGGTGGGAAGTGGAGGGCAGGGGTGAGAGACATATTTCAATAGGCTGAATGCATTGCTTTGCATGAGGGAGGCATGGTTAGATTCCCAGTATTGCATGGTCCCCAGAGTCAAGCCATCCTGTGCACAATGCTGGGAGTAGTCCATGAGCTCTGTTGTGTGTGCTGAGCCCTCTGGCCGGCCCCAAAGACACTTCTCCCTGGGAAGTCTCTTTTTCTATCTTTTAATTATTAGTTTGTTTGTCTTTGGGACACTGCCAGTAGTGATTGAAGCTTACTCTTGCCTCTAATTCAGGGATCACTTCTGGCTGACTCAAAGAAACATAGGTGGTGCCAGGGATGTAACCTGGATTGGTCATGTGCAAGACAAGCTCCCTATCTGCTGTACTATCACTCTGGTCCTGTTTTCTCATCTTTAAAAGGGTATATAAATGAAGTAAGCCAAAATGTGAAAGACACTTTAAAGTGGAATATAGATAACGGAAACAAATATACTGGAACATCCAATAAAACCACTTCTGAGATTCTGAAAACTATAGTGGTTACTGAGGAAAAGAGAAAGAGAGATGGAGAGAATAGGTAGAGGAATCATTTTGATAGTCTGATGACTCTAGAGCTTTAGTGTTGGGTATTAGTTGGCTTATACTTATATATAGGTATGAAACTATATTGCCAAGATTCTATGATATAATCTAATGGCAAATCAAAACTAAGTAAAATAACAAAAAGCAAGTAGACAGGAACTACAAATATGTGAAAATAAATATATAAAAAGTATGCATAATTAATACAAAATAAATTAAAATAAAAGGGGCTAAAAAACATTATAGGGTTGCTTTAAACATTTTCTTCTTCCACCAAATACAGTCAATTATAAAACTTGGACCAAACTCATGTTTTTGAAACTGTATATACACCACACTGTAGTAACCATTTCTTCTCTTTAATTTATCCCACAAAATAGTCTAAAATGGAGCCATACACTAAAAAATAATGTGAGTCACTAGAATGAACCCTGATTTGAAGCAATAGTCATTCTGTGTAACTCAAAGACAAGAAATGAAGTAAGTAGAAGTGTTAAATCAAACATGTTTTTGTTGTTTCAAATCAAAGTCTTAGAAAGAGCTACATGTTCTGTATCCCTAGATTGCTCATATATGGAATGTGGGTACTTCTAACAGAATTAAAGTATAATATGCAAGCATTAAAAGCATGATCCCCATTATAGAGTATAGATTACACAGCACATACACTAAAAATAAAGGCGATATCAATGCACTTAAATGCAAATAAGTAAGTGGGTAAATATATGAAAAGTGAAGATGAGAATTGTGGGAAGACAAGTTTTCCTTTTTACTTTTACTTTCCTAAATTGTTTGAATATTTTTAAATATAATGTTGCATCTTACAATAAATTTTTTAGAATAAAAAGTAAAGAACTACATGACCAAAATGATAGTCAAGTTTATATAGAAGCATAGGTTAACCATTTTCTTCTTAATCTTTATTTTTTATTTTCTATGATGAACTATATTATTTTATAATCATTGGTTGTTTAAGCAATAACTTAAGACACAAAATAGCCTGTATTCTAAAATTCTCTATTTCTCTAGCTTTCCCCTCTTCTTCTTCCTTATAAATTAGCAGAACATTTAATTTTATGCTTCCTTAAATTCTGGTGGCAATCTCGTTTGCACTTAATGTTCTCAACTTACTGCTTATCACCTACCCAGCCTCCCATGATTTTACTGTTTATGGACAATGGAATAGAATTCACACTTCTGGACCAAATCCAGGCAACTGTTGTGATAGATATGAATTACTGATCATTTCAATATTTTAAAATTGCATTACCTGCTATGAAGGATTAGATAGAATTGGATGCAAGGTGACCAAATGAAAAGAAAAAGCAACACTCACACAGTGGAATTTTATTTTTCTAATCTGTGTTTCTGTCCCTGTGTCTCTCTATCTAAGAATGTGACTGTAGACTTCATTAAGAGTATATATGGGGGACAGGAGAGTGGATTTAGTAGGATGAATGTTTGTTCTCTTAGCAGAAGCCTAGGGTTTGAACCCCAGCATCAATATTCCCTTGAACACCACCCTGAATGATCCCTAAAACAACATATACTTGGGACTCCATATTATTATGCCCCTATCATTTTTCTTCTGTTTATTAATATTTTTTCCTGAAAATGTCTATCTTGTCTAGAAATTAAGAAAATTGGACTTTTATAATATCCGGTGTCTGTACAGGAATTCAGCGAGAAGAACAATGTTCCTATTTTCTTTTATATCACTGAAAAACCTTTATTCTTGTTTTTTCCTGATTTAGTCCTGGAGGTTTTCAGGGACTCTTCCAGGTGGTACCACGAGGTGCCAAGGATCAAACCCAGGCTTCTTACATGCAAAGCATGTTCTTTAGTCTTTTTAATTATTAATCTCCTTGACCCTGAACAACTTCTTGATTGTGTCAAGGCACTTTATATGACATAATGCATGATCTCCATCAACACATCATAAAAATGAAAAAATAAAAACAAAAAAATCATAACACATTATGCATAATATGAACTACATAGGAATGATAGTGTGCTCTAAGTACGAAGTCTAAATAATTTGTGTATTAGTGTGAGGCAATGACCTAGATGCCTAAGTATTTTTTTTTCTTTTTGGGTCACACCCGGCAATGCACAGGGGTTACTCCTGACTCTGCGCTCAGGAATTACCCCTGGCGGTGCTCAGGGGACCATATGGGATGCTAGGAATCGAACCCGGGTTGGCCGCGTGCAAGGCAAACGCCCTACCCGATGGGCTATTGCTCCAGCCCCTGATGCCTAAGTAGATTTTAGGAGGGAAGAACAGAAGGCAAAGAACAACCCAGTCAGTTGGGGCATGGGCTGGTAAGGCAGTGCCATTAATGATACATTGGGTCAGATATCCTGAAGCATGGAATATATTTACAAAAGTCCTCGAGGTGAACCCTATCGTAATGAGTGGAATAAAGAATTTGAATTTTAGAATGAGAGGCAAAGACAAACCAAAGAAGGGAGGTGGTATTAGTCTCCCTCAGGTACAGGTAATGAGGGGGAGTATATTGATTGTAAGGAATATAAAACAATAATACAATTAAGTCTGTCTTCTCTTTGCTATCATGTTCCACTTGTATATAGTGCCAATGATAAAATTCTGTTATAATTCACAGCTCCTACCACCTTTGCCCTCTTGCACTACTGTCTGAAGACAGTGGTGGGGAGTGCAAGACTGAAAAAAAATGAACTCAACAACGTCAGTTTTTCAATGAAATGGTTTAGTCATGGTGTACAATGGGTTGGTGGGTAGTAATCTACTTTCCTAGAGCATAAATAATGTGATAAAATTAATTGTGTATTGAACTGATGGAAGAATATTTAGTAAATATAAGAAAAACAAAAATAAAATTAGATGAGATAGATATTATATTGGATGCCAAAAAAGGATAATAATAAGCGGTTATTATGAACAACTATATGGCAAAAAATAACCTCGAAGAAATGAATAAATTCCCAGAAATATATATCCTACAAAAATAAATCAAAGTGAAAAAGGAAGCCTCAGAAGAAAATAACAAGAAGATTGACTTAGTAATGTAAAATGTTACAATAAAGGAGCAGAAGGCTTTGTGTGTAAATTCTATGAAACATTCAAGTAATTCACACTAATACTTCTTAAACTCTTTATAAATTAGGAGAGGTAGAAGTACTTCCAAACTCATTCTGTAAGGACAGCATCACCAAATATGAAAAGCAGAAAAGGCACGAGAAGAAAACTATAGTCTAATATCCATGATCAACAAAGATATAAAACAGTATAAAGCAAAGTCCTAGAAAACTGAATTTAATAACACATTGAAGGAATCATATTCTATGGCCAAGTTTGATTTATTCCAGTAATGAAGTAATGATTTTTGATATACTCAATTCAATGTGACATAATACACTATGAAAGAAAAAATTACATGATCATCTTAATATGTGTGTAATAATCACTTGACAAAGTTCAACATTTATTCATGATCAATACACTCGACAAAAAAAGATATAGCAGGAACTTATCTCAACACACCAAAATCCACATATGACAAACCCAGAACTAACATCATAATCATGAGGGCGTTGCTAAAACTTTTTAGATGCAGTAGAAGGGGCCAGAGAGATACAGTGGGTAAGGTGAATTCTTGTAGGCAGCAGACCTGAATTCAATCCCTAGCACCCTACATCAGTAATGCTCTCTGAATGAAGAACAAAGTGTAAACCCTGAGTATTGCTGGGTGTGGGCCAAAACCAAAATTTTAAAAGAGATACAGTATAAGGAATAATGCCCATAGCTTTCATTTATTTTCAATTTAGTACTTTTGAGCAGGAAGTTAAAAAAATCAGGCATGGTTTCAAAATAAACCATTAACCTCCAGAAATCAAGACAATATATAACATAAAAGCAAACATAGGTCAATGGAATAGAATAGTCTGTCTAGGGGCTGGAGCGATAGCACAGCGGTGGGGCGTTTGCTTTGCACGCGGCTGACCCGGGTGGATTCCAAGCATCCCATATGGTCCCCAGAGGACTGCCAGGAGTAATCCCTGTGCATCGCAGGGTATGACCCAAAAAGCAAAAAAATAAAAACAAAAAACAAAACAAAATAAGAACAACTGCACTAATAGCAAACAATGGAGAACGGACTGAAATGGTTTTGAGAAATCTAGATATTCATTTG